TTGTGTTAGGACTCTTTTTTTTTTTTGAGACAGAGTCTCACTTCGTTGCTCAGGCTAGAGTGAGTGCCATGGCATCAGCCTAGCTCACAGCAACCTCAAACTCCTGGGCTCAAGCAATCCTCCTGCCTCAGCCTCCCGAGTAGCTGGGACTACAGGCATGTGCCACCATGCCCGGCTAAGTTTTTCTATATGTATTAGTTGGCCAATTAATTTCTTTCTATTTATAGTAGAGACGGGGTCTCGCTCTTGCTCAGGCTGGTTTTGAACTCCTGACCTCGAGTAATCCGCCTGCCTCGGCCTCCCAGAGTGCTAGGATTACAGGTGTGAGCCACAGCGCCCGGCCTGTGCTAGGACTCTTGCTTGGACCTTCCAGCTGGTTTCCCCACCTGCAGAATCTTAGCCCCTGTGGTGCACTTTGCATACTGTTGCTCGGGTACAACAATGACCTTGTCACTTTCCTACTCAGAAACTGCCATGGATCCTACAGACCACTCACTTTACTTCCTATCTCCAAATGCATGCATGTACTTTGTCCTTTGCCCAGAAAGCCTCTCCTGTCTCCTTCCGTGCCTCTTTAAACCTGAACCATCCTTGAAGGCTCAGCTTAAATGCCGACGCTTCCTGGAATCAAACCTTTTTCTGATCTCATAAGCCAATGGGATCTATTACTCCTTTGAACTTTCCTAACACATTCTTTGCATTTCTCCTATGAGATTTAACACATTGCTCAGCATTGCATTAGATATTCAAGTATTATTTTAATATTCCACTTAGGTTGTAAACATTTTGTAGACAGAGGCACTATATGCCTTCTTACTATCTCAAGTTTAAGACAAATACTGCATGTGACAGTCAGTGTGGTGTGATAGGAAAAGCGCAGGTTTCGAGGTTAGACATCTTTACATTTTAACCCTGACTCTCTCTTTTTTGTCCTTCTGTAATCAAGGGCAAGTTATTTAATCTCATTCCAAAACTTGGTTCTCCTCATCCCGAAAATGCACTTCCCTAAGGAGGTTGTTTGGAGGATTCAATTAGGTGCAGCAAATAAAGAGCTTATCAAAACATCATAGGGACTCAGAAAAGCCTGCTCACGTCCACCCCTTGAGTTCTTCATCACTTGTCAAAAGCTCTTTCTGTTCTTCAGATTGGAGGCACTGAGAATGCCCAAGCCATTGCAGGGTCACCCTACTGTGTTAGGCTTTCTCTTTGGCATGACAGAGTCACTGAGTCAGAATCCATCCTGATAAGCTGACCTCCATGTGATTTCGTACACACAGGCAGTAGCCTGGGAATGATGCTTCAGAAGACTTTTTCGAAGAAGGCAGAGTGTGGGTCTGTGAATTACCAGGATTATTTAACTCAGGTTGTGAAACCTGGTCTCATTTCAGAAACTTAAGTGATTTTTTTAAAAATTCACAATACACACAAACCAGTTGCCAAGCTCTAAAGTTACTCCCCCGCAATCTGGTAGACACCTTGGGAAGTTATCACCCCACTTCCAGGCCACCTGGTGCCCTTTGCCATGTAACAGTTACAGTGTAGTAAGTGGTTCACAGGAAGTAAATATATGTGCAAGTGAAGGAACATTTATTTACATGGACTTAATTATGTTTTGAATCTGTCTGAGAGGTGGGCACACCTTATTTACACTTGTGTTTTTCTTCCTTCACCTATTCTGGCTCCCTTGACATTTTAAAAATGTAATTGAGGCAAAAGACATTTTTCCAGGGTAGGTAACCAGTAGATAAAGTGTGATGTGTAGGTGCACCTGGGTGTCCACCAGCAGGTGGGAGGCCCCAGACTTCTCCCGTTGGTCCTGCCAAGTCCCTCACTGCCACATTTTGCTTTGTCTTTCTCTGCTTCCAAGAGCAAAGGAGTGAGGACCATGCAGTTTCCTCTGTGCTCAGTATTGAAGCAGCTTCTCCACTCAGCTGAGGCCTCAACTCCATTCTAAAGTTTGTGTGGAACATCTACATCCAGAGCTTTGACACTGATCAGCCTTATTACTCTTCTTTAGCTCATGAGAGGTGTGGATCTCTAAGCTCCAGGAAGGCACAAAGCATGCATAAGTGGCTGTCATATGTCAGGGCCATGAAAGTGGTGATGAGTGATCTGCCTGGGCCCATAGTTGAGTGATCTTCTCCTGCCCCTCCTCCATGGCCAATTGCATACATAAAATGTCATGAAATAAAAGGAGAAATTATGCAAATAAATTTATTATAAAGAGCAAATTAGGGAATGACTAGCAAAATTATTAATTAGAACTCTGTGTGTACTTATTGTCAAGCCTCACCATTTGTTCTTGAACTAAAGGCTCTTCCTCCATGAGAGCGTGTTATTGAAAGATGGGTTTGAATTTCAGGAAGTAGATGTGAATTTCAGAGTTTTCCGTTGCTTAGCTGTGACCAGGAGTAAGGTTTGTTCCTTGCTATTAATCAAGCAACTAGGCATTTATTCTTAGAAATGGTTGTATTCCTTCCTATCTTCGCTTGACTCCATGGTTCCATTACAGCACCACGAGTCACCCATTTCCCAATCAATAATCCTGGGAATCATCCCACTTTCCCCCTTTTCCATTATTACAACAGTCAGGCTATCAACAGGTCTGCTTGATTCTATCCTCAGAGTAACTTACATCGGCTTCTCTTTTCTATCCTCTGAGTTTAGACCCCATTCCCACTTTACCTTGTGTAAATGGCCTCAGCGGCCTCTCTGCTTTACTGAATATATTCTTCAACTGCCACCTCCTGCCCCTCAAACCTACCTTCACAACAGAGTGATCTTTCTAGGTCATAAATGCAAATTTGATGGGAGCATTCCCACACTTTGCTGGTTCTCCTTTGACTAATGTATAAAATTCGATGCAGCAATCAATTGCATTTGACCAACGTTTACCGACTGCCTCCTGGTGTTAGGGATTACATTAGATGCTGGCAATATAACCCCAGAGATTCCCAACTACAGTGGAGTGTGATTAGTGCTTTAATAGATTATAAATTTGGGAATCTGCTGGATTCAAACTTAGGTTCCTTCAAAAGAGCCTATCAGATCCTTCAGGACCTGACTGTAACCAGTCCCTCTTTTCCCCAAGTATTGTGCATGTCCATCATGCCAAGCTATCAGAAATTCAGTAAACATTTTATGTTCTCTTACCTGTATGCTCTGTTTTCCACCTAGAAACTGTCCATCCCTCTCAGTTGCATAATTCTTACTTGTCTGTTTCACATTGTGACCAGGCATCACATTTTCTGATGCCCTTTTACTCTCTTGAACTTCTTACCCTCAAGCTGGGCTAAAGAGCCACTTCTGTGCAGCCATGTCAATTTAGGAATGCAGATGGTGTCCAGAATAAGAGGGTTTAACTTCTAAGTCTTCGACTTTATTATGGTGTGAAAGCGATTTGCAAACCGTAGACGCTATGCGTCAAATGGCCATACAACCATTTTGTTTTTCGCTTTTAGTACAGTGTTCAATAAATTGCGTGAGATATCCAGCACTTTATTAAAAAATAGGCTTTGTGTTAGATGATAGATGATTTTGCCCAACAATAGGCTAATGTAAGTGTTACAAGTATGTGTAAGGTAGGCCAGGCCATACTGTGATGTCCAGTAGGTTAAGTGTATTAAATGTATTTTCAACTGGCAATATTTGCAGCTTATGATGGGTTTGTGGGAACGTAACCCCATTGTAAGTTGAGGAGCATCTGTAACTCTATCATAGGATTTCTCAGACCTTCTTTAAATTAATCTGTCAGGCTTTCTCCGCCGTATAAGGGTGTCTTTCATCTAAGTGCCTTCCTCACCCAGCGTAGTTCTTGGCAATAGCAGGCTCTCAATAATCGTTTGTTGAATGAATGAATGAATGAAAGTCCCTGGTTCAGGATGTTCCTAACTATGGCTTTCTTCTGATGGATATTAACCTGTAATTAATTTATTTGTTTATATATCCACTTATATGGGCTTAACTTCAAACCAGTGCCTTAATGCAGTATTTATTGTTCCTGCTTTTGCATAATCTTTCAAAAGTGACCATTTGCACTGATATAGTCACACTACTAATTTTACAGAGTTGTATTATAAGATTAGTAGGTGTTATTTATTTAATAAAAAATACTTATCAAGCTACTGTAAACAAGGTATCTAAAGGCTCAAGGACCTTTAGATCCCTTGAATTACAGGGAATCAATCTCACACAAGGGTCATCTGTGAAAATCACGTATAATCAAAATTAAATCAGAGGTCAGCAAATTATTTTATAAGGGCCAGATAATAAACATTTTTGGCTTTGTGGGCCATATGGTTTCTGCTGCAGCTCCTAGTCTCTGATGGTGTGGTGCAGCAGCAGTCAGACAATATGTAAATGAATAGGTACTCCTATGTTCCAGTAAAACTTTATTTACAAAAACTATGGCTCAGGGCTATAGTTTGAGAACCTCCCTTAAATTACAAGATTGGACAAATACTAAAATGTATGCAAAGTGTGGAGGTGATTCGAAGTAAAGAGAAATCACACATTTCACATCACAAGAAATTGAGAATGAGTGGGCTAGAAAGATGAATTTGTTTTCACCAAAATTCGGAACAGAATTCCAAAATACAAATGAGTAGATGCTATCAGGATCAGACAAAATTAGAAAGGCCTAGGGAGTATTTTGGTTAGTCGTTCAAGAAAACTTTAAGACCAAAACATAGAGAGGTATTTTTATTAAAAGCAACCAGGAATCTTGCAACCTTGGTGACAGTTTACTCTTACATAAAGAGAAAAGATAAAAGGTATGTTAGAAAAACCACGCCTTTTTGGTGTAGACTATTTTTATTGTCAGCATTCCTTTGAAGCCAGAGTTGATTATTGATTATTTTGGATAACCTTACCATTTAAATGAAAAAAAAAAATGTGCTAAATGCAACACTGAAATATGCTGTCATTGATCTTTTATTCACAGAATTTAACTGATTTGTTTTTGTTTTTGTTTTGTTTTGTTTTGTTTTTTTTAATTCTAGCACCAATAGCTGCAGGAACTGGCCCAAATTTTTCTCTCTCAGATTTGGAAAGTTCTTCATACTACAGCATGAGTCCAGGAGCAATGAGGAGGTCTTTACCCAGCACGTCCTCTACGAGGTAATTTGATTGGCAGCTCTTAAAGAGGTTATGCTGTGTAGTTGCACACCTTGATATTAACTTTGGGCCTGCTAGGCATTTAGCAATGTGCCTGTAGTAATAGAAGATGCCAAAATAGCGGGTTCGGCCCCAAAAGCCTGGGGAGATAAAGTAAATATACATGTAGTAGGAAAAAATACACACACACACACACACACACACACACATACACACACACCCCAGACAATAAAAAATGGTGGCCAAATTATGCAACATGGGCTAAAAATAGGTAAAGAAGGCTTTATCCAAAAAGAGTACCTTGTACTCAGCTCTAAATGTTGGTTAGGGTTGGCACGATGAAAAGGAAAAGGGAATGGAATTCTGGGTGGGGTGAGAACATAAGCAAAGGCATGAAGGAAGGATGGATGATGAACCTACATGTTTTCAGGAAATGGAGGACAGGCATGACTAGAGAAAAGGGCATGTGTTCTGGCTTGTTTGGCAGGAAGCAGACACTGGTGACACTAGTCCACAGCAGACCTTACAGCTCAGTCCCAGCTCTTTTTCTGCTGAGCCTCCAAAGGTCTCAAAATCCAGTTTATTGGAGTTGCCCTAAAAGATGAAACCTACTTGATATCCTGCTGTGAAGTTATACAAGCGAATGCAGTCAGATAAGAGGTTGGGGCCAGACAGTGACCCCATTGTACTGGGAGACCTAAAAAATGTAAAAGCTGGAGGAGCACAACCCAATAATGATTCTGGGGTTCTTGGTCCCCTAAGGTCACAAAGCCAAAATCAAAATGAAGCATTTTGCAAGATCCTGTTGTCTCTAGATAACCTGTACCAGAGGGAAAGGGATTAGGCATTAAACCCACAGTATTCTTTTACAAATTGGCTTTAGCACTGGACTGTGACAACAAAGAAAAGAATGGTGCAGAACGATCTTTAATGTTTGTGTACTTTGCAGAAAAACGTTTGACAAAGGTATATTCTGCCTAAAGCAAGTAACCAAGTTTTATGATATAAAACAATCTCCAGATTGTAGAAATTTTTCTTGGTAGAGATTCATTCTTACCTTGCCTTTATATATTTTAAACATTATTACTTTAAAAAAAATCAACCTAGTCATTACTAGTACTGGGAAGGCAGTTAAAGAAACAGTTATTCCCTAAATATAACTACCATATCTTATCATCATCTTTCATGTTGTTTAAAAGTTCCCCTTAGTTCACTATAGTATCAGTCCCTCGGGAAGGGAGAGTATCAAATCCAAAGTATATTTATAATAGGAGAAAGAGATTATGAGTACATTCAGCTGTTAATACATTTTGAGGATTTCTAATGTTTGCTGATGGAAAAGACATTGTGTGTAACTGCATTCAGTCAACATGAAAGCTTTGCAAACACTTGTGGGCAGTGATTAATTTAAAAGTTTATGGGCTATTTGTTTTTCATATGTGTGCTGTGCATGTGTACCACATACATCCCAAGCAGTGCCCCTTACTTCCTATCTTTTTGCACACTTCTCCAGCTATGTTTTATTATCTTTTGTTGTGACTCTCAGAAAAGCTGGTTATTAATTTCATTTAAAAGGCTAGTGTCATTCTCATATTCTGCAAATAACTCACCCTGATAAGGAGCCAATTATAAACAGCATCAGTAGTTAATAACTCAGTAATATGTTTGTTTTTCTCTCATTAGGCTTGTCCTAGGATTTTTTTAAAAAAAAAATTCCTTAAATACATAGATTCAGCAGAATTATCTGTGTACAGGTTAGAAAATGTACCCAGAAGAATATCCTAGATTTACATACAGAAAAGTTCATCAATCGATCAATATTTGTTCATGCTGTACCAATATTAATTGGTCACCTGCTCTGTGGCAGGCACTGTATTAAGTGATTTACGTACCTGATCTGATTTAATCTTCACAATAGTTTTACAACATAGACAGTGTTACCATTTAAACAGTGGAGCAACACAAAGCTCAGAGAAGTTAAGAAACTTGCCCAAAGTGATAGTTCTAGTAAATGGCAGAGTCTCCTTTCAAAGTCAGGTCTGTTGGAACCTTAAAAACTTGCTCTTGCCACACAGAATTCTCTTAGGAACAGGGCTGATTCTTTTAGTAGGAAACAGTAGAATCTGAGGCTCTAAGAAAGGAGTTTCTAGCATCTACTCTTCCCTGACACTTAACATTTGCTATCTTGAATTATTCTCACCGTCTTTTAGGTATGTACAAGTTCTGCCTCCCATCTGGAGTGTAAGTCCCTTGAATGAGTATCTAACTCTAACTCTTCCAAATCAGTAATGAACATTATTAAATGCCAAGGATATTGTCCTCAGCACTGTGCGTCTAAGGTCAGATAAAAGGGGCTTTACAATCTCTAGTGATTGGTACTGACAAGCAAATGGAAATTTTCCATTCAGGGTACTACGAACACTCAGTAAAACGGCATCTTGTAGTCTTATGGATATTGAGTAAGGCCTATGGGCCTTCCACATAGCAGAAACTAAGCAAATACTTGGAATTAAGGTAATAATCTTACCTTAATTTTTAGGTAAAATTGCTAGGAATACACGAACAACTTCCATACACAAGAAGAGACAGTGTACCACTCCTTAGAAGAATATTTATCCTCTCTTTTATGTATAGATCTTATTGGTACTTTTGTGTTTTTCTCAAATGTTTCTGGGAGAATAGAATCAGTGTGTTAGAAAGTCAAGAGCAAGAAACAAAAATCAATGACTGATTCATTTCTAAAAGTAAGACAGATAGATAAATAAGATTGATTTGTATTAATTATAAGTTTTGTACCCCTTCAGAGTAAACATCTCCAAAACTATAAAAAGGGTAATTCAAAAATTGGGATAAAATACATTGTTTATTCCAAAAAACATCATCAAGATAAGCCAACTGTCAAGTTTGGGAGGTCAGTAAATATTGTTCTGGAAGCCCTCTACCTGTCCTTCCTGGCCTTACTATTTTCACTCCTGATCATTTCTCTCTTCCATCCTGCACCTCCAACCTCCAGACACTTCCTTGCTCTCAAACTAAGACGTTAGTTAATAACAACAGAATCTTTCGGCTTTTAGGCCTTACTACCTGCTTAGGGTATTTGCATTTTATCGGAGGGAGCCGAGGAAATCAAAAGCTTTAAAAACCCAGAAAAATATTAGTAATGGGAGAATGATGGACAATGGAGTTGGCCTTTGGGGTTGGATTTCATTGAATCGTGGTAGTTGGATGAATCCTTGTCACGTGCATTCATATGGTTGTTTTTAAGTCAGTAGCCTAATTTAGCAGTTTTTATTATTAGCCAGGTGCTGTGGTAGGCACTACATATTTTAAAAAGAAAGTTATTTTCCCTACAGATCTTACAGCTCCATCAGAATGTACAGGCCTCACCTTTTATTTACCAGGGTACTTAAGGGAAATTTTTTTTTTCCAGTATGTATTCTTTCTATATGCAAAGTGGTTTCAAGTGGCTTTTAATTTTACAACACAGCAGATAATATTAAATATGGAAATAGAGGCCAGAAACTATATGAAAAGGTAGGAGAGATTGTTATAGTAGGAACCTTAACCACGAGGTATGCTTAAGTTTAGCCTTGAGCTTCCTGGTTGCCAAGGCAAAAAGGGAAGCAATACATTATATAATTTGCATTTTTTTAATAAAAGAAAACAGAGTAAATCCTTTCAAAGAGACCATATTTTTCTGGTTATATATTATAGGGAATTTTTTGTGTATCCCATCTTATAAGGGACTTCCATTAGATGTCGTTTTGCATAAAATATAGAAAAGTTCTTCAAGTGGCTATTTTTCATTGAACTTCAAGGAAAGCCAAGGAAAGAATATTAAATAAGCTATCAACGGCATTTCCTTTGAGTATGAAGCTAGTGTGGTACAGTTTTGTTACTTTCCTGTGGTCTGGCTTTAATGAGAATAGAACTTAATGGCTGAGAATACTGGAATGCCAACATTAATGATTAGAATTTTTTGCCTTAAATTGGGCCCTGCACATTTTTTCATTCAGATTGCTGCTGTCATTTCTTAACTATCTCCCTACCCCTAGGCTCCATCCCCTTCCTTTCTCTGTGCCTTTCTAAATCCGTCATATATACAATTACCAGAGTCGCTTTTCTAAAATATCACTCCTGTGTCGCTCCCTGTTTAGACTGTTTCAGGGAGTCTCCATTGCTTATAGGATAAAGTCCAGACATACAGTATCTTCTGTAACCTCCACCCCTCCTCCACCCCTCTTGCTGCGCCCCTCCTTCCACTTCAGCCGTCCTCAACAGCTGGCAATTCTCTGACCGTATCACACTTTACTCATGATGTTGCTTCTGCCTGATACGCACCTCCCTCCTGGGGGGTGATGTTCAAAACATCCGATAACCTGTGCGGCACGAGCATGCCAATTAGAACAGATGCTTCCTGCTGCAGGGCTGGGGCCAGCTCCTGGAATGCTCCTGAGGGTGCCAGGCATTAACCCTTTAGGGTTGGGACTGGGAGGGTGAGTCCTGGGGCAAAGAAGGGGAGAAACGGTTGGAAGAAACGTATGGGGCTCAAGATAATAACAATAGTGTACCGATCAGTAAAGAGACATTTCAACATTGTGAAAACCAAAATGGCCGCCCAAGTGGTACGTCAGCTGAAGGACAGCCTACTTCTGCCCTTTCCTTCTTTCTTTCCCATCTCCTCGACAGTCTTTTTTTTGAGACAGAGTCTCGCTTTGTTGCCCAGGCTAGAGTGAGTGCCGTGGCGTCAGCCTAGCTCACAGCAACCTCAAACTCCTGGGCTCAAGCAATCCTCCTGCCTCAGCCTCCCAAGTAGCTGGGACTACAGGCATTTGCCACCATGCCCGGCTAATTTTTTGTATATATATTAGTTGGCCAATTAATTTCTTTCTATTTATAGTAGAGACGGGGTCTCACTCTTGCTCAGGCTGGTTTCGAACTCCTGACCTCGAGCAATCCGCCCGCCTCGGCCTCCCAGAGAGCTAGGATTACAGGCGTGAGCCACTGCGCCCGGCCTCCTCGACAGTCTTAAAGACAGCTCAGGAGCCATCTCCTCTAGGAAGTCTTTCACAACTCCCAGGCCGGCCTATCGTTGTTTCCTTCTTCCGTGGTGTGACTCACTGTGTCCTGTACAGGGTTCCATCCTCATACCTGTATTTCTCTTTTGCACCGTCTTACTTCCCTCTCTGCCCCAGTCCATGGAGACAGGGGCCACCTCTGACTCTTCTCAGACTTGGCACTTAGCGCAGCACCTGGCACGCAGGGTGTGCACAGCAGATTATTTGATGAATGAAAACATTTTTAAAATTCTGTACCCTGACACAAGAGGAAGAGACTTCCCAACAAGCACTCTCACTAGCCACGAAACCGCCCATTCTGATAGCATGTTGGTGGCTTTCTCCATTAAGACAACTAGAACGAGAATAGCAGCAGGGTAGCATTTTACTACTTTTCACCCCTGAAGCCTCAAATTGGGAGAAAAATTCAGTCCTTCAACTGGAGGAAATGAGATACACTGTGGAAATTTCTCTGAAAGTCTCTCCAAAAAATAAACATCCCTACCCTGGTGGGATAAAACTTCATTGTGGTAATCTCTGTATAGAGGAAACGCATAGAAGTCATTGGGCCACTCTTTTTCCATGTCCCTCATTCCCGCGGGGCAATGCTCTCCTTCCTCCTATTTTTATCTGTTTTGTTCACTGTTTTATCTCTAGCGTGTAGAGCAAGACCTGGACTAGCTGTGCAGTAAATACTTTTTTGAATGAATACTCCAAATGGAAGATGGGCAAAAGTGGTGGGGAAAAAAAAAGGGACAATCCAATCCTTTCTTGAAGGATTGTGAGCCCTGCTTTTTAATCCTTTCTGGGGTTCCAGCAGGGATTAGATTGATGTCTAGGTACATTGCTGATGGCCAGGCCCCAGCCACTGCCTGTGGAGACAGGAAATACGTGGGCTCACTACCAACACTTCCAGGTGGAGACAGGAGTGGGAGCCAGCCACCAGTTCCTCAAAAGGAAAAAGGAACAGGATGTGGCAGCAGCAGCAACTTGAGTGACAATAACAATCAAACCCAGACACTTGGAACAACGCAGACCCAAGACTTTGCTCTACATGCAGTGACTCACCAACCTGAACAAGAGCCTAAAAAGAGTCCTAGAACTACAGAGTTGCCCAATTACTTCCTCCCCTGGCTTTCTTTCAACCAGAGGTGCCGTGTCCGGGCGAAAGGTGGTTTGCATTGCTTTGAAACATGGACCTATTTGTTGTTTCAGCTCCACAAAGCGCCTCAAGTCTGTGGAGGATGAAATGGACAGTCCTGGTGAAGAGCCATTTTATACAGGCCAAGGACGCTCCCCAGGAAGTGGCAGTCAGTCGAGCGGATGGCATGAAGTGGAGCCAGGTAAGCAGGGGAGGGGTGGCTCGTGGCCAACGCTGGAAGATGAGAAATGTGTGTGGGGTCCCATGCGATGCATGAGAGTGAACAAAGAAAGCTTAAGGCAGTTGACTTTTTCAAGAAGAACACTTGTTTGCTTTGTCATCCTTTTGCTATACTGGTAAAAGGGTGGCCTGCAAAGCAGTGATTCAACTGAAATGAACGGCGGGGGAGAATGCTGTGTGGTTTTCTACTCTGACATTTCTTCACGTACACCACATTCCAGCATGGGGTTTGCTTTTGTTTTTGTTATTATACTATCTTTTTTCTTTCATTTTTTGAATTATCTTTTAGTAATCATAGTAAAAATCTATCAACTTTTTCAGCTGGATTGATAACATTAGAAAGGTAAATGGGTTCCTTATGCTACAGTTTATACTCAGATTTTCATATAATGAGGATATTTTGCAATATTTTTTCCTATTGCTGGATATCATCATGATTGCTTTTCTATTTAAACGGAACAATTATCTTTATGCCCAACTGTACTTGACTAAGCAAATGATGACTGCTGATCCTAACCTCCTGTGGTAGTCTAGTCTTGGTTCTGGAGTCTTGAGAGTAACATGAATAATTCTGATAGCAAAAGCTTTTTTAAACTTTTATCAATATCTAACTCCATGTGGGTAAGAGGGAATCTTCTCCAATGCCTTCCCAAATGTGGCAAGTCAAATGGATGTAGAGGATGGGGTGTGGGCTTTGGAATGGGACAGACGAGTGTAATCCTGGCTTCAACCCCTGCTGGCCGTGTGACTGTGGGCAAATTACCTAATCTCTCCGAGCCTGTGTCTCTATCTTTATAATCTGACAGTAGTAAAAGCTGTTTCAATGTTCTTGAGGATTAAGTAAGGTAACATTCACCACCCATCTAGGAATTTTACCTAGCATAGAGTAAGTATGATGGAAATGTTCTCTGGCCATCTTTCCCCACCACTGCCTCAGAGTAATTAATTCCTGCAAGAACAGACAAGCACCAGGAAAATCTCTGAACCAACCCCTTCCTCTACGTATCTCAGCTCCCTTCTCTCCTGCCTATCATTTTTTCCAAAAGACAACCCCCAGAGGGTGTGACTATAAAGGTATAACGTGAGGGAGATTTGGGGGGTGATAGTTCTTTATCCTGATTGTAGTGGTGGTTACAGCAATCTGTATAAATGTTAACATTCACAGAAGTATATACCTTTCCCCCTACCCCCAGTTAGTTTTACTGTATCATAATTAAAACCAAAACAAAACTCAAAACACCTCAAGCCCCACAGGCTGGGTCTTTTACCTCGCCCCCTTTATTAAAACTGTAAACATTTCTCTCTGCCTTGCTTCTGTGTAGCACCCGATCCTCTCCCTCGACTCACTCATTCATTCACTCACCCAACAGTCTTCACTGGGAACTTTCTCTGCATGAGGCATCATGCCAGGTTCTGGGAACTCAGGGATGCACGTGAAGGCTATGGCCCCAGCTCTCAAGGAATTCACGAGCAGGGGTGGGAAGCAAACACATAAGCAGATCATTATGCAGTGGTATAGGACGTCCGGAGATGCTGATGACATTAGCCTCCGGTGCCTTCTTTCTCTAATTATTACCAGCACAGCACCCAAGGTGTGGTGGTTCTTCAATGAAGGTCACACATCAGCTGTACTCCACACTTGTGGAGTTTGCCTAAAGTGGCTAAGAAATAAGCCCAGGCCTAAACGAGCATGAAAATGCTGACTGCTCCTTGCCACTAACCGCATCGTCAGCATGACCTCAGTATAGTGCAGATGAAAAGTTTATGTGCTATTAAAAAATTATAAGATGTAAAACTTCTTTGAACCCTTTCTAAAAGGCTAATTAGAGTCCTAGCCAATTTACCTGCTTCAGTGCAAATCAGAATCAAATATACATTTGTGCTTGATTATTGTGTGCATGCATTTTTGTGCACATTGCAGCTGCTCTATTAGGTTGCTGTACAAGAAGCTTCTCCTCCATGAGGCTGTGGTCCTTACATGGACTTCTTTTGGGTATATTTGGGGGCAGTGGGGTTTGATTTAATACAGAGTACCTCAACCTAGTGAATCTTTTATTCAGAGTAATTCCTATTCCTATCTGTACATTATGATGCAAATAATCATAAATTTTAACATCTGAATGCTTATGTCTTTTGTAGTCATTAAATAACTGAAGTTTAGTGACTGAATCCTTTTTAGATGTGTGCGTATGTACGTATTTTCTTCCTAAAGAATCCCCCACAATTATACTCCTGGACTGATTCTCCATTCTCTGTCCCCATTTCATTAAAAAAAAAAATGCAGTTTCATGGTATATGTTTGCAGGAGGTGGGAGAGGACAGTGGATAAATTTACATTTGGCCATATTCAGCATAGAAAGTCATAATTGAAACAGGGCCTGAGGGGACATTAAAACTCAACTGAAGGATGTTGCACATGTTCATGGTGACTTTGGTGTCATTAACTCACACCAGCCATTTTAAATGGATAATTTATGCTGCCAGATGGTCCTTTTTGGGGATTTTCCATCAAGCCCAATCCCCTTTTTGGCACAGAGAACACCTTTATGTTGTTCCCACACTTATCCAGGCCTGCATAGCTTTTCCCCAGGGGTAGAGTTAATTGAGTAGGAGGCTTTTAGTGGTTCTCTCATGTAAATTACCTTCAGAAATATGTTGGGAGTTATGTATATCTGAATGCACTGGCAGCTTCTTGGTTGCCTACATTTGGGATAATTCTCTCAGACAAGTACTAAGGATACTTTGTTTACGCCTCAGATGTCACACAGGAAGCAAGACCTGTACTTACTCCCCACTCAGAGAGCTTTGCATCTGTTTACCTGCCCTCAAATGCTTTTTCAGGACTCCCTGGCCAAAAGAGGGCTGAAGGTTGCCAGAAGACACAAATTTCCTAGAGCAACAGGAAGACTTTGGAAAGTAAAACAAACCAGACATGCAGTAAATTACATGGGCCCTTTCAGATGTCTTTTGTAGTATCCTGTTCCCCATTAGTTATCTCAGCACTTTCAGTGCACAGCTCTTATTATCTGGAAAGGAGGGCATAGGAGATTAAAGATGATGTTAGTTTAAAAACATCAGACAACCTCAGGCTGACTTTTGCTTCTCTTACAATGCTGCATTTGTTTCTTCCACTTAGTTTCATTTCCCAGTTATCTAAAAACTGGGTTAGAGTCTAAGCTTTGAAGCTAATCATGAACTGATGAAATGAGTCTATGACATTCTATCAAGCAAAAATGCATATACCATCAACTCTTATTTATCTCTACAAATGAAAAGTTGCAGAGAAACTGATAATGCAAATCAGTAGGAAAGAAACCAACAGGCAGGTGCCCACATTGGGTCAAACACTACATGGTTTTTTCATATATATGGTAAAAATTCTAGTTACAACTGAGTACCCTACTGTGTACCAAGTTTTTAAAAATTTAACCTCCCTTAAAATATGCAATATATAATAATTCTACCTCTAAGAGATGAAAACTAAGAATCATGAAAGGTTAAATGAGTTGCCCAAGCCCACACAGATAGTAAATCTGTGGATCTACAAGGTGCAAAATTTGGTTCAAACCAAATCTGACTTCAGAGCATAAATTTTGTCTTCCATACTCAGTAATCTCTTTAACCATAAACATTTATTCTTGCATTTTAGGGTCTCACGTTCTAGACTTGTACTTAAGGTAAAATATAATAACGAAGAACAGTAAATAACTCATGAGAAACACCTGAAAAATCCCCAATTTTCCTTATCCTAAACCCTTGACATACAGCCTAGTCCAGGGAAAGACTATAGGTTATTAAATACACATAGGACACAATACAGAAAGAAAGAGTATTAACTGTTAACAAAGTGAAATGCCTCTCATTTTCACCCATAAAAATCATAATAGTCATTGGCATTCAGGTCATCTTTGTTCAAATAATACTTCATCAGGGAGGCCCTCGCTGATCTAAAGTAGCTGCTGGCCCTCTCTCTGTCATCCTGTAATTCATAACCCTGCTTTCCATTCTTCATACCTCCTTCTGCTGTTATTGTCTGTTTTCTCCCTCTAGGATATACACTCCATGAACAGCGGGACTTAGTCCGTCTCTCCTACTACTGTGTCCCTCACATCCATCACAGTGTCTAACATGTAATAGGTACTCAATAGGGAATATTGATTGAATGAATGAATGAAGCCATGGAGCAGAGAATTTTGAGTGTTCTCAATAAACTTGAAAGCAGAACTTGCTACCAATAATCCTCTCAGAATTGGCCTTTCCTATATTTTCAATTTGGAGGCTTTCAGTCAAATCCAATGAGTAGCAAGTAGTAAGCAAAACGATTGCTAAGGCTCAGCCAAGAGCCCCATTGACAAGTAGTTGTGTATCAAACTTTATTGCAAGTGTCCCTCACCTTAAAAGGTTTTCCTTTAAGTGAATGCAACCTTTTTTAAAAAATAATTCTTTGTTATTTTTAAAGATAATTCTTTATTATGAGCTCTATGTTAAGAATTCCAACAATGAATCCTTTGTAGAACGTTTTGTGTAGTTTAGACAACCTCCCTGATTTACCTGTGAACAATTTCAGATTTTCATATCAAATTTTCTTTTATACGAGTGTAAAAAGCAACCATATGAGACACTTCAGACCTTTGCTAGTCAAAGTGGTCTGAGTACCTGCAACATGGCATTGTATGGTAGCTTATCAAAAATACAAAATCTCAGGTCCCACACAGACAGACAGAATTTTAACAAGCTCTCCAAGTGATGCCTATGCATGGTAGGTATGAAAGGTATTGATTTAGGTTGTCTCTTTGTTCCTTTAATAAGGAACAAAGTGGTGAGAGGTGGGCTCTCACCACTCAATACTTGTCTGGAAGCCACCTTAACCTTAAATGTTGTGTTCCCCACCATCTTACTTTAAATATTGTGTTGTGTTCCCCAACCTTTTTCCTTATGTTAAGTAGCAATGTCTTTAAACTA